GTTAGCAAAACCCTTGGAGGAGGTCGACGCACGTTAGCAAAATCCAAAATTTCCCCCTTTTTATTATCTTTCTGCCACCCCCACCCTCAATCATTTCTTCTCTTTCCTTTCTCTTTGACTGTAGACCCCATTATCCCTATCTCTCTCACCCTTTTTAATTTTTAAACTTCCTTTTATCCTAATAAAAAACAACAAAACCCAATTTACCTCTAGCTCTAACACTTCCTATGGCAGAAAACAAAATCTCCAACCCTCTTCATCTTCTTCAAAACCCATTCTTCCTTACCCAAACACACCATTGTTCCTTTTTCTTCTTACCGTCACCAACCTCACCGAACCCTTACGCCCCTGCTAATGTGCTCGCTCCACGATGATACGCACGAGGAACCAACAAAACAATGATGCATTCAGATCACATCATATCGTTCGACGTTCACACCCACCGACTTTCTTCGTCCTGGATCTAGCACTATTTATCATCATCTCCACCGTTCTCCCTATCATTGTCCTTCTAGTCCATGCCAACCGTGGTCACTACTTTCTCTCGTCCATAACAGTCGACTTTCTCATCGTGTTCAATTCATTCGGCGACATCGAAAAATACTCCGGAGGTAAATTCTGATCCTATTTCCATTCAACTATTTCTAATGTACCATCCAGTTTATGGTTTTATAGAGTATTTCAAAGACGATTTTCTACCGATGACACAACCTGATCATGCTTATAGTTCATGGCATCAAACCCGAGCCACCCACTTCTTCACCTCCCACCGTGGCTGTGGTCAACAGTAAATCCGGGGAGTACTCTATTACTTCTCTTGCACTTTAATTTTACATTTTGAGGCAAAACGCTTTAAGTGAGTGAGAGTATAGTGTAGATTGAATTTTTCCTTTTGTTTATCTTTATGTTTCGATTCTAGTATGTGTTGGTTGGATTTGCGGAAATTTCAATGAATTTCTTTGTCTTGTTGATTATTTTTGGAATGTTATGCTTGTTTGGGAACTCATGATTGTTTAGTTTAGGATGTTCTTGATAATGGATAGCATGAATTGTGATCAAGTTGGTATTTTTTGTGATATTCCATGACTTTGTTGGTTGAAATGTGATTAGCTCAATGCATGAAACAATTTGGTGAGATTTGAGCCTTTACGAGCATATAATTTTTGCTCTTATTTTGTTGGATTATGTGTGTCAAATTTGGCATTGGTATTTTAGAACCTGCATGTTAATAATGTCGAAATTACACATGAACGTGATGCTTAAAAATGATTTGGCACCTTAGGATTAACCATTCTGTTTCCCCACTAAATAGCCTACCCATGCATTTTTCCCCTAGTTAACCACTTTTGAGCCTATTCCCATTTCTTTGTTTTCACCATATTTATAAACCTGAGCCTTTTATTTTATCACTCTTTTCTACCTATTTTAGGGCAAGTGAACTGTTAAACCATTGTATGCTCTATCGAGAGGGAAAAAATAGCAGTTCGAAAATAGAAAAAAAAAGATGTTGTTCGAAAAAGAAAAAAAAGAGAGAAAAAAGACGTGAAAAAGAATGGAGAACGAAACAACAACAAGGAAAAAATTCAATGCATTTCGAAAAAAAAAAATTTGTTGTTTGATAGATTGTCTTTTTATCTTATTGCGCTTAATGTTTGTTTTGATGGAGTTGAAATTATTATTTGTTAGTTCCTTGCATCTTGTTCTTATTAGTAGTGGAGATTTGATTTACTTGCAGGCCTATGGTAATATCGTGTCGATTCTGACATTGAGCGTTTCTTTACCCCAAACACATTGAGTGATTTGAGTGAATCCCGGTAAGGTGTTGAGTTATGAGCATTGAGATTAATGAATGAATGGATATTACGATCACACTTGACTTGTTCCAATTGATGATGTTCAATTGATTGATTTCTTGACTTGAATAGTATTGTGGTCTCTACTTGCTTCCTCGAATGTGAAACTGACAAAGAATGGTAAATGAAATTTTTGACTGATTTGATTAATCATACTTGAGGACAAGCATGTGATAAGTGAGGAGGGATTTGATGAGTGTTCAGAATCGTTAATATTTTCCCGTTATTTCTTCGATTTTGTGGATTATGCTACTGTTTTGGTTGTGTTATGCCTATTTTCGTGCATGTCCTTGCTTTTCAGAATTAGTGACAAAACGAGCGTTTTATGTATTTTTTATTATAATTTGGTCATGACTGGAGACATGAGCATGACACTGGGCACGACGCGGTCTGATGTGGCAGTTTCTAGAAGGTCCAGTCAGCGGTGGTTTCTAAAAGACCTCCTCAGCACGCCTTCTGGAAGATGGATGTAGAGTTGCATTAGGAGACTAGTTTAAAGTTTGAATTTAGAAAAAACAATTATCTTTAGGATTATTTTATTTTATATTCTTTGTTTATCCTTAGGCTTTGAGAGGCTATAAATACCCTCTTGGGGTAAGCCTAAACTCATCACTCAAATTACAATCTTCTTCCTCTCTATTTTATTAAAGCTTTCTCTTTTTTTACTTTTCAAGTTTTATTTTTTCTTTTATTTTCAAGCTTTGTTTTTAATATGCTAAGTATGACTTTTGTCATGCTTAGCTAAATTTTTCATAAGCCGAGAGTTGAAGCGATGACTCAATTCCAACTGGAGAATAGAAACAGACCCTTAATATCTTCGGAATATCTCTCTCATCTCTGCGCTTATTTTTTCAAAATCAAGATAGACTTGGTCTAGATTGTTGTTGCGATTAAACATGTGGGAGGAAGATTTGGCTTATAGAAATCACATTCGACTTCCTGGGAACACACTTGGCGAGATAGCTTCGCCAAGAGGGATTTGAGATCAGAATGACGGTTTAGAGCAACAATCCAAGTCGGTCGCCACGAACTTGAACGATAATTGATGTTGATAGAATCAATTTCCGAAGCCGGAATCAAAGATTGCCTTGGGTATTCCGTATACAAAATAGAGTCGGGGGGATTACCCTTGTAGATAAAGTAACCGACGTAAATCCCGAAGGGAAAATCAATTTGATGATTTAAAGGAAATTGAGTCAAAGCGAAGCTTGAGGCTGTTTTTTCCATATCTATTTTACAACCTTTACTCTCCTACTTTTATAATTATCTTTATTTATTTAATCTCTTTTTCCATTTAATTTCATTTTACCAATACGTATTTCCTTTATTAATTAACAAGAAGGATTTATTTGACATCGAAATGACAGTTGTCAAACACACTTCATAATAAATGAAAGGGAATGTTAAAATCATTCATCACTAAATCATCTAAAGGAATATACATGTACTATCTACTAACCTTGTCTTTCCCTCGGAAAAACAATTTCATTAAAATCACCTATAACAAAACATTAAAGTAATAAAATTTTGGCTTAAGTATACAGAAGGTGCCCAACCTATACTCGTTTTTTTAGTTTAGTGCCTAATATTCTTTTCGTTCTAGTTTGGTGCCTAACGTTTCATTCCGTAACTCAAAATGGGTCACGCCGTGACGAACCTTTAAGATTGACTGTTAACCCATTAAAAATGCCACATTGAATATTTTTTAATATTAAAAATAATTTTTGCAAATAAAAAATAAATTAAAATGAAAAAAAAAGTTTTATGGGGAAAACCAATTAGTCAGGTTGGTCGAAGGACCCAGAAACCCCCTCGATTTTTTGTGTTTTTGCCCTTTGATCAGGTATCTCCGACCGCCATGGAAGTGCCCCGTCACCGCTAACGGCCTCAGCAACGACTGACGACCCAACCCCAACACTCTAATCGCCTGATTTGGTCATTGTCGCGTATTAATCACAATGAGAGCTTTCGGCTACCAATCGTCGATCCACCGTCCAGTCACTGTTGAAGTACACTGCCCACCCTGGTCAAACCGCAACTTCGCTCCAATCGCAACCCAGCCAGTTACTCACCAAGTGGTTGCGTCATTCCGTGGGACCGAACAATTAAAGTTTCGTCGAGAACCTTGTCTGACGCATCATTTCCGATCGATTATTTTATCATTTTAATTTATTTTTTATTTGTGATTGCTATATGTGGTTCTAGCTTCTGGCTTTTCTAACACTTAATTTGGGTTTTCTGTTTCATTTATTTTGTAATTAGAGCTTGAGCTTGTGTGTGTTCGAGTGTGAAACTGTACTGTGTTCTGTCAGGATGAAACGCCACACAATTTCAGTGTTCGTTGGGAACGAGAGTGGAATCATAAACAGGATAGCGGGAGTGTTTGCCCGAAGAGGTTACAACGTTGAGTCCCTTACTGTTGGTCTCAACAAGGATAAGGCTCTGTTTACTATAGCCGTCTTCAGGACTGAAAAGGTTTTTCGACAAGTGGTTGAGCAACTGAACTAGGGTTGGGCTGTGGTGGAGAGTGAAGGAGAAAGGGGGAAATTATTTAGGGTTAAACAGTAAAAGGCATTAAAACGTTTATTTTTTCATTTTAATTTATTTTTTATTTGAATTTTTTTTAATATTAAAAAATATGCCACGTGGCATTTTTTAATGGGTTAACGACCAAACTTAATGGTCCGTCACAGAGTGACCCATTTTGAGTTACGTAATGAAACGTTAGGCACCAAACTGGAACGAAAAAAACGTTAGGCACTGAACTGAAAAAACGGGTATAGATTGAGCACCTTTTATATACTTAAGCCTAAAATTTTATTAAATCTACGTTATCATGCTTAATGGAACAGTAATCATAATCATTGACCAAACAATTTTCATATATATATATAAAGATATGTATTGATCGGGCAAAATCGAAGCCTAATTACAAAAGAATTCTAGACCTAGCCTATCGAAAATACATTATTATTTAAATAACTAAAACATAATATTGTATTTTAAATTAAATTAATATATGAATTTTAAATTATTTAATATTATTCCAATCATATCGCAAACAAAAAATTTAAACTGGGGTCGATCAGACCGACCATGAACCCATGGAGTCACATTATGAATCCCGATAATCTTGGTTAACGCCATTTAAGTATGAACTGGCCTTATTGCGGGAACCGGCAAACCAAGAAAACATGAAGGGCTTGCTCTTACGCTGTTGTATTTCAAGCATTTTCCTCCATTTGCTGTAATCCCATTCTCTAATGGAGTCTCAGCAGTAGGACATTTCACTATTGACTCTTCATTCACAGCCATTTCATTCTCTTTATGCAATGTTTCAACCAAATTGTTGTTATTATTTTCCTCGTCTTTATCATGATCGTTTTTATTGTGAAAAACATCGACTCGATCATCTTCTTCGTTGGCCCCCGCTTCTCTATCATCATAATCATCAAAATCATTGTTGATATAATCAAAAGGCACGAGATCTAATACTAAACGACCATTGGATCGGTGAGCTTGCAAATACTCATTGAATCCCACTCTCTCTCTTCTGATAATCAACCGTCCATCGACAGTGTAGTACCTTTTCAACACCCATGGCATACGGTAAGGTTTCGGCGGTGGAATATCTTTCTTCTTCGTACAACACCGCTGCTCTACCTTGTCATGAATACAATCAATTCTACCATCGTCACTGCCGTAAGAGTATTCAATGTTACCGAGATCAAAGCAACTCTCCATGCCGATGTAATCGCCGATCAAAGAAGAAGACGTCGGCGAAACAAGGACGCTTGGTGCCATCATCATACAAGGTTTGGAATGGTTTTCGGTATGGGTTTTCTTTGTACAAATGGTTAAGGCTTCAAGTTTAAGCTGTATCTCTGGTAATGATTTCTGGGTCTGCATATTAGAAATACTGATCCTGGAATTTTGGCCAAACGAGATCAAACGTCAACTTATGGTTTTACTGGGAGCAATGAACAGCTAGGTTTTTCAGTATGCCCTACATATATTTGCAACTCAAACCCCTGCAATTTTCCAGGAGAGAAATTACATTTTCATCAGAATTTCAAGTTCTTTACATTTAAATTGCAAATATAAATAAAATAAATTAGTCAATCATGGAGAATAAAATAATGATTAAAGAAGGAACATACCCAGTACTGAAACCCAAATCCAGAGCTGAAGTTTGAATTCGATTCATCAAAAATCCTAAATTAGAAAAATAAAATTCAAGGGAAAATAAACAAGTTTCTTATAACAAAAATTAAGAAAAAAAAGGAAAAGAAATACTTGGCATGAGAAGAGAGGTGATGAATATAAGAAAACAACCGAGGAAGATTAGATATGGACGAGGGGTTTTTATTAGGGAGAGACAGATCAGAAGCAATTAAAAATCGGATTTCCTCTGAAAAGACGGTATATATCAGAAGTTTCTTCCATCGACAGATAATGATTTTTTCAATACAAATATTTTTTTAATATATACGCGTGTAATCTCCTTATTTCGGAACAAATTACCTAAATTTAGGCGCGGTTCAAGGGACTAGGGCTTCTTCTCTTAAGTGACTTTTTAGCCATTTAATGGGATAAAATTTTATTTTCATTTTTTAACTCTGAAATTAAATGGTGATTGATAAATATTTTTTTTATTAAATATACATACATTATCCATAAATATATATTATTATTTATGAACGTTTTTGTAGTAAATATAATTTTTTAGTGAAATATATAATACATATATATTATAAATTTGATAATTGAATTTTACTCTCTCTCTTATTTCACTTACTGTATTCTAAATATTTTCAATTTTCTCATTGAACTTAATACATTTGATTTTTTTCACTTAATCGTTTCCTCACTAAGGCATTATAAATAGGCTTTTATATAGATACAAAACGACTTTGTCTTGGTAGAAATTTTATTTTTATAAAACAAAATTGTTTTAACACCATTAACTACTTAACAACGAAATAAAAAAATCATTAAAAATATATATTCGTGTTAAAATCGTGGGAAGTTTGTAATCTGAAGAAAAATCAATTTTTTATTTGATAAAAATTATAATGTGAAAACGTATATACTTTAAAATTCACAAGGCTTTTACTATCATTATATAGTTGATATAATATTTTAAAAGTTAGGGTAATTTAAGTGTTTAGTATCTAAACTATCAGTTTTGGTTCGTTTTAGTACCTAAAGTTTAGTACAGTTTTAAAAAAATTGAAAATTTAGATACTAAAACTAATAATTTAGGTTTTAAATGCATAGTTTACATAAAATTGAATATATATATATATATATAACAAAACGATCAGAAGAAGAAGAAAAAAATCTCACTAGTTTTCTTTCTTCTTTTTTTTTTGTGTCACCGTTAGTTTTTTTTAATCTTTGTAACCAGTAGTGACATTAATTTTAGAGTTGATCGTCAATCGCCAGCATTATATTGTATCTTTTATTTTTTAAATAAATTTGTCTTTATAACATGTTTTTCTCTATCTTTATGACAAGTTTTCTTTCTTTTTTTTTTGGCACGTTTCGATCTTTTCCTCGAAAAACTGTAAATCAAAATCGGGGGAAATGAGAAAACTATTTTCGTTTATCATTTTTCTTAGTGCTAGATTTGACATCACCACGACGGATCAAGATGACGTTTATTTGTTATCATGTTGATCTTTCCATTTTAGGATCATCAGATTGGATTTAGATACGTGATTTAGGTTCGTAAATAGTTTTTCATTTCCCCCGATTTTGATTTACAGTTTGTCGGTGGTTTTTTAATAGTTTGATCTCATTTTATGGTTTGTTTGTCAATGGAATCAAATATATTTGTCTACCTTTTATTCAAGTTTATCTAGTTAGTTTTTTCTAACATTTTCCTTGGATTATCATTGTGTCATCTTAAGTGGCTAACTCCTTATGTTAATGAATAGAGGAAAATATTCTTATTATGTGTTTAATTTATGGTTGTGATTGTAAACCTTCATTGTAACATGTATATATTTGTTTTATTTTTTATAAAAATAACGGCTTCTATCTTGTCAAAAGAAATCATATATATAATATAACAAGGTACTCAAGTAATAAATTTAAAAGGTTGATAAGTGACATTTCAAATAAATTTTTAAAATCTATCTTCTAAAAACTATAATTAAAATTTTTGTTGTAGTTTAAGAATTTTATAACCCCCTAGATCCGGCCTATACGTTACGATCAAATCTAGGTGGTCACATGTCGTATACAAAAATCCTTGCCATGTTCAAAATAGGGTTGAATTCCATTTCAGTGAATAAAATACATATAATGGTAATAGTACATAAAATATCCAAGTTCCATACGGTAAATATATACAAATACCAACATCGAAAGTCTATATAAAAACAAGTTCAGAACAAAAAACCAATACTACAGATACATGCAGACAGTAGTAAAACTCGTGTCACCAAAATATAACAGAAAAAACATTTAGAAATATAACGATAGGTCCTCTTGATGCCAAGTCTAATAGCTTACTGTCGCGTAATATTTGAAAAGTTAAAATTAAAGAGTGAGCTAAAAAGCTCAGTGTACTCCTTGCGGTGTATAGAAACATTCAGATAAATACTTCAGTAAAAATTAATTTATAAAATATTTTTTTAAAACATGAACACTACCCACATCCGAACACTAGAATGTGTAGATTCCCCTGAACTATACCCACATGTCCCAATAATATCTATACTTATAGTATAAACTCCTTGCGGTGTATAGAAACATTCAGATAAATACTTCAGTAAAAATTAATTTATAAAATATTTTTTTAAAACATGAACACTACCCACATCCGAACACTAGAATGTGTAGATTCCCCTGAACTATATACCCACATGTCCCAATAAATATCTTATACTTATAGTATAAGGGCATGCGGTAAGGATTTAACTTATACACAAAACAGAAGAGCCTGCAGTAAGGTCTTATAAGTCATAGACTAAGCCTAACATACTTCCTCTAATAATATCCTCCAATGACAATAAATATTAGGGATGTTAACAGGTAAGGTCGGGTTGGACTTTTGCATGCTCTGACTCAGACCCGATATAGTAAGACTATAACTCGACTCCAATTTTAATATAATATCATCTAACCTAACTTAAACTCCAAAATCAAAACAAAAACCTGACTTTAACCCGACCCAATTCGAGATGCATTGTTAAATTAAAAAAAGCGCACAAACACATTGAAGAGAATGACAAAATCCCCTAACATTCCTCCAACATTTTTGTCCATATTAGCTTATCTCAACTCATCAACAACAAAAAGAATAAAGCATAATTTTTTACATTTAAAGAAAAAATATTAAATTTTAAATAAAAATAAAAAGGAAATAATGCTAAATAATCATCGAATGAAATAAAAAAATCAAGCTAAATAAAATGGTAAAAAAATAGATTTTTACAATAAAAACATGTATATTTGAAAAAGTTTCGATAAAAAATCCCCCCAAAATCAAAATAAAAGAGTAAAAAAACACATTCAAAAATGAACATCTAATCGTGGCCATTTGTGATGAAATAAAACTAAAACTGAAATTGTTTAACATGCAAACATTTGAGTAGTAGAGAGAATTTGAGAGAAAATTTGAAAAATCCTTGAGGGAGGAAAAGAAAGCAAGCGGCAGAAAATGGAAGAGAAATGAAATATAAGAAACTCTAAATATTTATATATAGGATAACATTTTTGAAAATAACCTAAATTAATAATATAATTAAAATATTCAGGTCGGGTGAGGTCATATGTTTTTGACCCTAAACCCGACACTGAACTGAACCCGAAAATTTTATACATTAAATCAGACCCGACTTAACCCGAACCTAAATTTAAAAGAAAAATTTGACCCTGTCAGGTCAGTCGAATCGGAACCCGTCGAATCGGAACCCATCGAATCTGATTCAATCGAATCCGATTCAAATTGCCATCTCTAGTAAAACATGAAAACGTTTCATATTCCAAAATTAGATATAGAAATACGGTAACCAAAGATCATATCAAAAGTATACGATAAATCATATATCAGAACTCAATGCATACGGTAAAACAAATATCTTGAAATAAAAAAATTTAAAATTCATCAAAATACCTAAACATTTTAGATAGGAAATTCAAAACAGTATTGTAACACCATCAGGAACACACTTTTATCAATCTGAGAAGTCTGGTACAGTAGCCTACTATCGAGCATGTCTATCTTGATCAGTAGCGGCTATAGATCCTACAAACAGGAGAAACAATATCACTAACCCAATATAATAATTAATAAAATATATTTAAATAATTTATGGAAACTTATGAGCAACTCTCAAAGTACGTGTATCAAGCTGATTTATTGAATAGGAGGCACCGGATTTAATCGATCCTTAATTGGGGAAACACAACACCTTCATAAAAATATATTCTCAAATCAATAAAATATTCAATACTGAATAATCATGCAGAAGTGCTAAAATACTAAGCATTTTTTTTAATTAAAAGGCCTATTGTGAGGCTTTCGGGGTCAGAATTTGGCAAAATATACCATAAAATTGGACCCAGGGCTTCGAAAAACATCAAAATGGATATTTTAAAAAAAAATGTCAATGCTGGCTAACGGTCAAAGTTAACGTCAATCAACGATCAATAGATCAGCGCGGCGCGGCTCAGCTCGACTCGATCAGATCAGTCTAGTTCAGTTAGACCGATTCAGTTCAATTTGGTTGGGTCGATTTGGGTCAAAAAGAATTGGGTTGGACAGGTTAAACGGGTCAAACAGACGGGTTGGGAAAGGCGGTCGGTTCAGATGCAATCAGTGGGTCGGGTTGACTCATTTCTAAAAGCCCACTAGGTGGTGGACAAGCCCCACGCAAAATGGTTGTATGTGCAAC